GCTTATTGCTCTTCTGTATTTTACTTGAAGGCCTCAGCGTGGATCGTCCCTGTGCCAGGGCAATAAAAGTAGACTGTCCATATCAACTATCACAGATTACAGCCAGAAATAATATAATTTGGGCATTAACGGAGCAACGTGTACTTCTCTTTCGTGAAGGTGTCAGCAGTTTCTGTCCTGAAGGAGAGCACTGGAAATGTGATATCATAAGGTAAACAGCCTCTGAACAGTAGGCATGTCCTGTAATAGTTCTTGATTTTGCAAGGACCAGCGTTTTCATCATCTTAGTTGCATGTGCTTAAACAACATATTGAATCACATGAGAAGAGAGTTTCCCAACCAGGACATCAGGTTTTATTGATTATTTTTTTTAGATGGTAAATTTTTTGCAACTCGGCAAAAGAAGGAAAGAATGCCCATTAAGTTGTACAATTTATCATAACACCTTTTTTCATCATACACAATTATTATTAGATCCTAATAATTAGAATTGCATACATAGTTTATCCTTAAACTTCTAGATCCAGATAATTTTATTCATTCGTTTATTTAAAGAACTTATGACTGCCTATCTCACATAAGGCTTCTATGTTGACTCCCAACAACTAATAAAAAAGTGGAATAAAAATAGAACAACCCTTCTCACCAGGCACCAGACCAAACAAATTCTTGACCTGACTTAACCTCATCCTAGCTCTGTGCTTGGGGGAAGAGCCGGGTCTTTAGACCTCCTGTGAATGATCAGTTCTGATCCAAAGAAAGCCAAAATCTGTTATCTGGTTAAGTTTTGCAAATTGTTCATGATTGGCTGCTAACAGTTGTATAGTTGGTTACGCTATTAGCTCTTGTGAGATTTGAGCAGATTGATTAACTTTTTAGATTATATTTAAATTTAGTAGTATTTAATTTGCACTAAGTATTGTTTGAATATATTTAATATGAGCAGTGGCATGACCAAGTAATAATCATTGTTATAGTCCATTGATAGTGGTGGAATGTAAGTTTCGGTTTTCTTCAATAAAATTTATCTGCAAATATTAAGTTGTGTCCATTGGCTAAAGTAATATACCATACCATTTTGAATTTAATATATTGAATTGTAAATAAATAGAATGGGAATGCAATGGGATTCCACTATGGGTGATTTTTTTTTTAAAATGAAGGAAAGAATATTTTCTGTAAGCATGTTAATAAGCCCTGGCAACAGCCATCTGTGTTCTAATCATCTCTAGAATTGACAATTGCAATGTATTTTATGTCGGGCTGCCCTAGAAAACTGTCTGAAATCTACCGCAGGCTACAGTAATCATTTTATGCTGATATCCATTAGTTCATATAACACTAGCTTTACAGTCAACATGTTGGCTTCCAATAGGCTTCTAGGTACTGTTCAAATATATATTGGGATATATTCCCCTGCCTCACCGAGATCCAGATGGCACTCTCCCTAAAGAGATTCAAAAAGGCTATTAAAATTTAGCTTTTCTAACAAACTTTTAATTAGCATTAAATATTTACAGTTTTAAAACTGTGGATGATAGTGTAATAGGGACACAGTAATATTTGTGTTTGAATTTAATGATGTTATGTTCAGTCTTGTAAATTGATAGAAGTGCTTAAGGAATCGATTATGTAAATATTGTAAAGAAAATAAGTATTGCTTGCTTTTGCAGTGAAATGCAAGGTCTAGAGCCAGTGTGTATTACTCTTGGAGACCAGCAGACCATCTGGATTTTAGACATCCATGGGAACCTGTGGTTTAGAACTGGTGTTGTTTCAAAGAAACCACAAGGGGATGACAACCACTGGTGGCAAGTAGGCATTTCCTATTCTACTTCTAATATAAAGGGGGCTTATTTGTTGGTGAGGCTCAGATTTCTTACTTGCATTCCTGATAATATCCTGGATTCAATCCCAGCCAGAAGATGACAGAAAGTAGATTTGGGGAAGATCCATAAATGAAACCCTACCAGAACTTGCCTTCCTAAGATAGTGATGAAATCATGCTACATTTACTAATTAAATCTAGATGTCCATTGGTTGTCTCGTTTCTCTGTTTTGTAGGAATGCTACTTATAAATCTGTATTAGGTCTATAATCAGATTCTGGAGCTGGAGCTCTAATCCTGATAAGAGAATTACCAAAAATGAGGGAAGGGAGTCTTGATATTCTATCAAGAGAAAAGTAGTAACATTCAACTGAACACTAAGTTTAATTACTTTAATTGAATAATTCAAAGAGAAAACAAAACAAGGAAAAGAAGACAATTCTGAGACAGAAAATAAATGTCATAATAATTATAAAACTTATTTTACAAATTGTAAAGCAAAACGTGACCACATTCAGAATGATAACATTTATTTAGACATCATAGAGGAATACATATGTTAGAGTGCGGTAAGGATACTGAAAATAACAATAACAACAACCATCAGTGTAATAATGTATTTATATTCTACCTTTCTGCTATATTCTGGCAAGCAATTAAGGCACCATATAAAAAAGGTAAAATCAAAACAGAACAATGTAGAAATACAAATTAAAATAATAAAGTACTGAAATTCTATAACAAAGTCTGGTGAAAGAGGTGCATCTTTATGGATTTACTTGCTTTATAGACTGCTTGCTGTTAATACAGCTTCCAGTTTGTTGAGCATTTATGGTATATCTTTTATTCTAAAGGGACTGTTAAATTTGCTGGGATATTTCCAAGCTACTGAATGTTTTTATTAACACACCACATAGCTCACTGTAAAAACTTTTAACAGTTTTTACTGTCCTACTTCCAAAATGTGAAATTGAAATAAGTCACGTGCAAGGCTTCCAGAACTCTGAATGATACATTTTTGCCTGCCTGTTCTTCCCCCATCAAAGTCAGAATTATAATATTATAATGCCCTTTGCAACATCTTACCCGCTAAGGTAAGATCTGCCTCCACCCTCCTATCCTTCCGCAAGAGGCTAAGGACTTGGCCCTGCCGGTTGGCCTAAGGACCAAATGGGGAGTTCCATGCTGGAGGTGCCTGCTGGATTGATAGCAGACTCCACCTCCCCGCCCCCCCCGCAGTCTGCTTTCCATCCATCCATCCATCTTTTCAGTTATCATATTGATGTATTCTCATTGTGTTCTTTTTCATTGTTTATTTTATTGTTCTATTATTTTATTTCTGCTCTATTCCTTTCATTTCCCCCCTCTTTATTATTTTATTATTGTTAGAGTAGCCCCGTGCCGAGGTAGGCAACAAATAAATTTAACAAATAAATAATAAAAAAAAAATACAGAATAATTGAATTTTTTTCTGATTCCATCTGAAGAAGTAGATTGATGTTTCCTGAAAATCTGAAAGGCAATATGCTGTCGAAAAGAAGTTGTTCCTCTCGCTGGAGTTTTCCTGTGACGTAACAAGAGAGAGCTTAATGTGCTCTGAAACTAAATTAATCCTTTTATGTATTTTACTCTCCCAGGTAAGCATTACCGATTATGTTGTGTTTGACCAGAGCAGCCTTTTCCAGACAATAATCCATGCAACACAAACAGTAGCGACAGCAGCCCAGGCTCCTGTTGAGAAAGTGGCAGACAAACTGCGCACGACTTTCTGGTCACAACAGCTTCAGTGTCAACCAAGCCTACTTGCGGTCAATAGCAGCGGTGTCTGGATTTCCTCTGGGAAGAATGAATTTCATGTAGCAAAGGGGAGCCTCATAGGCAAGTGCATTTTTTGTTGCTGAGGTTGCTTTTAAACTTAACCTGTTGGCATATGCATATCTAAAGTCATTTAGCAATGATTTGATTCCTATCACTTATTTCAAAGTAGAAAGTGTCTGAACACATTTATTTTGAGTAGCAGTGGTTAATGTCTTGTCTGTTGTGTCACTCCTGGGCATAATGCATGCTGCCAAGACATACATCAATTTGTGAATGAAAGAGGCATGTGGGAATCGGCAAACATGTAGAACTTGGTTGTATCAAAGCCAAGCATGCAGAGCCTAATGCTTCTTTCCTGGCATATATTCCCATAGTGTACAGTTTTGCCATCTGTTTTAAATTATTAACATTTGTATTATTTTGTTCCTCCAGAGATCTTCTAAGCAGCTTACAAAGAATGTCTAGGCAGAGTTACTTTTTCTGGGTGCTGGCCAGAGTCAGTCTTGCTTAGATTTAGTGAGGTCACTACATCATGTGCCTTCAAATCAAATTCAATGTATGCATGTTGTGTTGAGTTTCCAGATTTTAAATAAAAGGATGTTTAAAAGATGTTAGTGGTATGCGACATTTTCAACTCACCTGAGACCCATTCTATATTTTATTTCAATGATACGTAGTTCAATTAATCTGCAGAAACTCTTTATATGTAAAAATGAAAAAAGATAAATCTGCCTTATTTACAGTACGCTAAAATTGAGCTAGTGCATTGTGGAAGCTTTATATATCAAGCCAAATCTAATAATTATGTAGAATGTATGCTGACATTCTAATATTCTATGTTGGTTTGGTACTGATAACAGCAATAGATATTAAAATCCTTGAAATTTAAAATATATTTCAGATACATCAGTAAAAGTAAGTGTTGGATATCAGGTCTCAAGATTCATAGATGCACATATTAGAATATGAATTAATTTACTCAATATTTCCATACCACAGTAGGCAACCTTATTTCTTCCATATGTTTTGGCCAGTATGACCCAAAACAAGAAATTGGGATGTGTGGAAAGAAAAACTGCCCGAGCAGATTGAAAGTACTTGCACTTCTTGCTCCCCCTCCTTCCCATATCATCAAGATAACCAACTGCCAACCAAACAGAAGTATATTATAATCCAGAAAATGTCCTGTTTTAGATTACCTAACCAGATCTTAAATAGGTTAGATTGGGATAAGAAGCATTAGGAAGGAAAGATTATATAGAAGAAAGTGATAGGTCAAACTGAATTGCAAAGAATATCTTGTTTGGGTGTAGCGGACAGAGGGAATGGCCTTTTTTTTTCAATATAAATTTTTTTATTATTTTTCATCATAAAAAAAAACATCACAAATGTTACACAATGCTATATGAGCTACCCCCCACCCCCCACCCCCCCGGACTTCCCAAACCTAATCCCAGGATAATATTCAGATGTAAGTAAACAAATATTAGTATCTCTAACTCCACAAAGTATATTATTCTACATGAGTAGGTAAAATATATAAAAGAAAAGAAAAAGAAAAATTTTTCTAAAAACCTAAATTATATTCCACCACTCTATGCTTCTTTTGAATATAAACAATCCATCTTCTCCATATTAACAAAAATTGTTCATTTGAATAATTCTTCAAATAAGCCGAAATCTTTGCCATTTCAGCAAGGTATGAAACTTTCAATCTCCAGTCTTCCATTGTAGGTAAAATTTTACTCTTCCAGTTTTGAGCTATCAGCAAATGGGCAGCAGTTAAGCAATATAACATCAAATTCGTTTCTTTTACGTCCAAATTTTGTGTAATACCTAGGAGAAACAACTGAGGCGAAAAAGTAATTCTTCTTTTGAAAATTTGCTGTAGGTTCCACCACAATTTTATCCAAAAGGCCTTAATAACCTTGCAAGTCCACCACATATGGAAAAAAGTTGCATCTTGTTGTCCACACCTCCAACACTTGGATTCATAATTCTCATAAATGCGAGACATAGTTGCAGGATCCATGTGCCATCTGTAAAACATTTTATAGAAATTCTCACGTAGATTTTGAGCTTGCGTAAACNTTTGAATATAAACAATCCATCTTCTCCATATTAATAAAAATTGTTCATTTGAATAATTCTTCAAATAAGCCGAAATCTTTGCCATTTCAGCAAGGTACGAAACTTTCAATCTCCAGTCTTCCATTGTAGGTAAAATTTTACTCTTCCAATTTTGAGCTATCAACAAACGGGCAGCAGTTAAGCAATATAACATCAAATTTGTTTCTTTTACGTCCAAATTTTGTGTGATACCTAGGAGAAACAACTGAGGCGAGAAAGTAATTCTTCTTTTGAAAATTTGCTGTAAGTTCCACCACAATTTTATCCAAAAGGCCTTAATAACCTTGCAAGTCCACCACATATGGAAAAAAATTGCATCTTGTTGTCCACACCTCCAACACTTGGATTCATAATTCTCATAAATGCGAGACATAGTTGCAGGATCCATGTGCCATCTGTAAAACATTTTATAGAAATTCTCACGTAGATTTTGGGCTTGTGTAAACTTCACATTTCTCACCCAGATCAACTCCCAAGTATCCATAGATATTGTTTCTCCTATATTTTGGGCCCATTTGATCATACAATCTTTAACTAACTCAGTTTCTGAATCCAATTCTAATAAAACATTATATATCCTTCTAATATGTCCTTTGGCACCGTCCCTTACTTGTTTCAAAAAATTCCCATCTTCCGTAAGAAAAATAGTCTTTTTATCAGTTCGCCATCTATCTTGAATTTGTCTATACACAAGCCAAGAAAAGTCTGGGTTTTTCTGTTTCAAAACTTCTATTGATTTCAGGCACCAGTTACCGCTACCACTCTGGTATAACAAGTCTTTATATGAGGGCGCCTCCATCACCACATATCTAGGTATGGTCAGAAAAATATGTGATGGTATCACCCAAATTGGGAGCTTAACATCAAACTTAAAAAAGTACTTTTGCCAAACTCTTAACAAAGCAGCCCTTATTATATGATTTCTAAAAGTTTTATCAATCTTTTTCTGCATAAAAAGATAAGCATGCCACCCAAAGTACAAGTCCCATCCTTCAACGTTCAATATCCTTTTGTTGGACAAG